AGGAACCTGAAATCCGTTCTCTTCAGGCTGTAGAGAAGCTTCAGGAGGACTTTTATTCAGCTCCCCGCGAAGTGCAGGCCAGGCACGTTCTGTGCTAGTAGGAATCCCCCCGGATCGGCTGCCCTCCGGTCTCCTCCCGGTTGCCTTGGCGGGCAGTGGGGTCTTGGGTCAGCCTGAGCGCTGGAACCGCCTACCTCGGGAAAGGCCCTTCAGGGAAGTGCAGCTGCCCCTTGGCTGTTGCCTGCATCTCTGTGCCCTGCAGGGAGCGTAAAGGGTTCTGACAGGACACAAAGGTGAGGAATCCTTCCCTGTAGTGAGTGGGAGGATGAGAGTAGCAGATGGGAAATGCGTCAAAGGCAGGGGGAGTATTCTCAAGTGCTTGTCACAATTGTCTGCATGGGTGGCTGCCCTGTGATAATAGTGCTTAAGGTTGTCTTTTCCTGACCTTGACCCAGTCTCAGGTCCAGTGTGATTAAGTGCTCTAAACCGCCCGTTCTTCCGAGGCTTTGGAACTGGTACCATTTTCCTGCGAGAAAGGCGGCACATCCTGGGAATTAGTAAGTGTCTACTCCACAGAGAGTCCAGAGGAGTCACGTGCTGCTGTCTGTGTGGTGCAGTGGGTTAGCGCGTTCGGCTGTTAATGGGAAGGTTGGTGGTTCGAGCCCACCCAAGGACGTTGGGAGAGGTTTTAGAACCCATTCAGCGTTTTCCGTGTTGATTACCATTCCCGGTGTTCCATGCTGATTATTACCAGTACATTTGCTCCCACAAAATTTACCGAATGCAGTTCGGGGTCCTGTCCACCTCACGACTGCTGCCAGTCTTGGGCCACACTCCCCTTCCCAGCTCTATTGTCTGTCGTCTCTATTGGACTCTATACTTGCCTAACTTACGGCCTCCTGGAAGAGATCCAGGAATCCGCGGACTGGTGAGATAGTCTTTATTCGGCCAAGTCTATATTCTTGGACAAGAAAGTCATATTTTATGTGTCTTAAACTTTTCATGTGTGAACGTCAGTAATTGTTCTATGAATGATGTTAGCAGTGAACTCATCATCATAGTTCTCCTCTGCATTATTTTTGATAAAGGGCTTTCTTCCATGGTTGTGTATTACTTGCTTTCATGGTTTCACGATGACGAATATGCTGCAACCGTCATTATCGTACACACACCTCTGACCACTTGTGCAGGTGTCTCCATAGCGTAGAGACCTGGAAGTGCAAGTGCTACCTTTAGTGTTTCTATGCTTCTAATGTTGGTAACTCCTTTAAATTTTCCTTCCACAGAAGTGGGACTAAATCATATTCCATTTTATTTTCCAGTCTTTCAATGTCCCTTTCTTCATTTACTTGCCAACACAGCAATCTTTGTATACATCTCTCTATGATAGTCTAAC